AGGAGGCTCCTGGATAAGGAGGTGCGACTGGAGCTTGTGAAGACCCAGCAGCAGGCAGCTGACATTCTCACCAAGCGCCTGGCAGAACCTGAGCATTGGAAGGGCATGAAACTTGCTGGAATGAGTGTGCATTGAGAGTGCATGCTTGAGCTATGGCATGTGGGATGATTGTTGGCAGCCAGAGGGGGGGTTTGTTGTGTGATGCAATCATTTGCATTCACTTCACGTTGTCTGCCTCCCATCATATGTTCGTGCGTTGCATGCGTCGTGTGAGCGTGTGTGAAAATTTGTTTTTGTGCGGTTTGGATTTTATGAGCGTGTGTGAATGATGTTTGACTTGAGCAGATACATGAAGTGACTGCTCTACTCGAGAGCTTTTCGACGAGCCAAGAATCGTCGCGATCGGAGCACGATCAAGAAAGTTACGAACGTTGAAGTTTGTATGCTTTTGATATTTAGTTTTGGCGATTTTGGGAAGTTGTGGGGTTGACTTTATATGGGGTACAGACCTTTTGGGGCTGAGAAATTCGTAACTCCCACTGTAGATGCTGCCATGTGGTTGGGAGAAGCCAAACCAGGTTGGCAAGTGTGGCCAAGTTGGGTTGAGGTGGATTGTGGAGGTTGGGATAGTGACAAAGGTCAAAGTTGGGTTGCCTATGGGGAAGGGAATTGTGTGGTATGGGGTTTCCTTGGTTGGGAACTCCCTTGGGACCTTCCCTCTCGTTCTCCTCTTCCCCTCCTGCCTGGTTTCTACCAACTCTAACTCTCTTGTGTGTGTTACTTGTGAACTTGTGAGAATATTATTATTGAGTTAAGTTTCTATGGCAGCTTACCCCCTAGTGCGCCGAAATTGATAACTCGAGTTATACTCCCCTTCTTGACACGATTCAGATTGGGAAATGTAGCTACGGTCTAGAGCTACACCATACTCGAGTTTGAGATAATTCTAACAGTGCAATTTTTGTCGACGGCGTTTCTTGTGAACATGACTTTTCTGCCCAGAATTTCAAGCCAACGATTTTGAGAAATTTGGCCTCCTGATCTTCATAGACCGAGTCCGTAGTCTCTAACAGAAACCACCTGGGCGACCTTCGCACACGTCGTCCGGGTATCCCGGTCGACTGGGCAACCGTGCCTGGTCATCCAGCCCAATTGGTCGCCAGGTACACCAAACCCGGCGTCCCAGGGTCGGCGTCCTGGCGCCCAGGTCGGCGTCCACTCACCCAGGACGCCGTCAAGGCGCCCAGGTCAGCGACCAGGCACCCGGGACGCCGAGCAGACGCCCAGGTCGGCGTCCATCCTCCCAAGCGCCTTCCCAGCTCAAAGCCATTGCCGTGGCCCACGTGCCCACTACTCCAGGTCGGCTGCATCCCCCCGTACACCGGATTAACCACGAGGTCGGCTCCGCCCAAGCGAGGACGGGGCCAAACACTACTCCCGTTGACATACAACAGAAACACAAGCACCTAGACTAGAGAGGCACAGCTTTACACTAAGAGGAGGCAAGCATCCTAGACTACGAACACGCGAGCACACTGATCCATCGGCACTATAATCATCATCAACATACAAAGCATACTGACGTGCATCGTTCATAGACATATCAAATACATGAATCTTACAGCCTAGTAGGCGAGCCCAGCGCGGGGTGGTCGCCTCAGGACCCCAGCGTGCACGGTAGAGGTCGTCGAGGCGGCGGACGCACCGCGCCGCAGAGTGGTCGTCGTGGCCGCAGACACAGGGACTGCCCGGTCCGGTGACACACCAGTGGTCGCAAGGGCCGGTGTCACGCCGCAGGGGGCGCGGGGCCCAGCTGGTAGTGCTGCTGCTGTGGCCAGTGCTCCCGGGTCCTCCAGGTCCCCACTGTGGCGGAGGGCCCCAGTGCTGCTGCGGACCACACTGTAGTGGGGGTCCCCACGACTGAAACTGCTGTGGTGCCTGCCACTACTGCTGTCCCTGCTGTTGCTGCTGTCTCTGCTGTGGCTGCTGCTGCTTCACGGGCCCCGCACCACAGTTGGTCGAACCTCCTCCAGCAGGTGGGTCAGCACCTCCTCTAGGGCCCCCTCCTTCTGGTGCACCACCGCCGTCGCCACTACTGCCGCCCCCAGCGCCGCCTCCACCACCGCCACCTCCTCCACTGCCGCCACCCCCTTTCCCTCTTTTCTTGCCGCCCTTGCCCCGATTCTGCCTGTCAGTGGCAGAAACAGCTGCAGTGTCCCCAGAGATCGACACAGCAGCAGAGGTACAAATAGAAGTGAAGGTGGGAAGCTGGGGGACAGCACACCCTTCAAACAGACGGGGGGCGACTACGTCATTCGCTGAGGCAACAGAGAGGAGGTTACTCTCAATCTTCTCGACAGTGGTCTCGAGAAGATCAATCGTAAGCTAACTGGGGTGCCGCTGGAGAAGCGCGTCACGGGCAGTGGATAGGCGGTCAGGGAGATGAGTGACTATCCAGTGGACAGTAAGCCAGATAGGAGGGGGAGCAACAAGAAGCTGGGCCTCTGTTCAAGCTGCACTGTAGCTAGCGACAGGGGAACGCAAGTGAGTGGCTAGTTCGGAGACAGTCGCAAAGGCGCCAAGGTCAGGAAATACGAACGGCATGAGGATGCGGCTGAGAGAGGCAGAGGAAGGGGTGGAATTGCATGCAGAAATATCATAGTAAAATCCCTTCGTAGTCTCTACCAGGTCAAAGTGCGTGGCCTCAGTCGGTGGAAGGAGCTCTGTCAGTGCGGGTGCAGCCGCAGCGTTACGGGAGTCCCAAACGATCAATGCCAAGACGAGACGATCGTAGTCCGCCCGCGCCTCCGGAGTCGGGGGGGGGGGGGGGGGGGGGGGGGGGGGGCAGGTAGGGGCTTGGGACGCAGGGGTGCCTGGAGGGCGCCGGACACATGGGCGTACAAGGTGGCGCCGTCCTGGCGCTGACTGGTGAGGTAGCGCTGAGTCTGGTGGAGCCAGGTGCTGAACTCTATCGAACGTCCCTCTGCACCGAAGCGAAGGCGGCAGGAGGAGTCCATATTGGACACTAGGCTAGCGTTGGCTAGAGTACGGAGGAAGCGGAGCTGGGAACGAGGAGGGGGAACACCTAGCTACGGAAGAGGTGGAACTTGAAGTCCTAGAAGCGCCAGCGAAGGAGGAAACCGGGCTACGCTAGGAGCTAGATGCAACTGGGTCGAAATCGTGTGACCGGTGAGAGAAGCGGCTGCCAGCCGCTAAGTGGACAGCCTATAGCAGTAGGAACGGGTGTAGCCCGGGAAACAGGGCGGTGGAGGGGGAGGGGGGAGGGAAGGAACCACGAGCCTAGTGAGGAGATGGCGCGTTGGCCGGGCGCGGCCTTTGAGAAGGGAGTCGTTAGGGCCCAATCTAAGGGGAGGGCACGGGTTAAGGCGTGGGCGCGAGCTCGGCCTGTGCTAGGCACGGAGGGCGGGGCTAAGCACGGAGGGCGCGGACGGCGCGGTGGGCGGAGCTAAGCACGGAGGGCGCGGATGGCGCGGAGGGCGGGGCTAAGCACGAAGGGTGCGAGGCGCGGGGTAAGGCGCGGGCTAAGCCACGGGCTCGGGCGCGGGCTAGGCACGGTCTAAGGCACCAGGCGTGGGCTAAGGAGAGGGCACGCGGCTTAGGCGCGGGATGGAGGGCGCGAGAGGCGCGGAGGCGTGCTAGGCGGGCGGAGGCTCCGCGACGAGCTAAAGCAGGGCGCACTCGGCCCGCGACGAGCTAAGGGCGGACGCGCGAGACGGAGGGCGCATTTCGGAGGGCGTGTAGGGCGCGGAGGGCGTGTTTCAGAGGGCACGGAGGGCACGATTCGGTTGGCGCGGAGGGCGCTAGAGTGCGAGTTAGGCTAGGATTCTATACCTACTCGTGATACCATCTTAGAAATAGAGTGCAACGTAATGTCGAGAGTAGCAAGGCAAGGCAGTATAAAAATGATAACCTAACTGAGTTGTACTCACTAAAAAGCATCTCACTACAGACTACAACGAATAATAATATTTGACACCAAGTGCGAGGGAGTGTCAAAGGTCCACTGGAGATCCCCAATTGATCCTAGGGAAGGTTTACGCACACGTTGACCTGGGGGGTTATGGGCGCACTCACTCGCTACACAAACAAGCCCTTTTATTCCAATGGATAGTGGATGGGATTCATACATTTTTTACATTAGTTCTGTTCAGTCTTGGACCCTGATAAGTACTTGGCGCTCTGTAAGTTTTGGATTTCTGACTCTTAGTGCTCTTGTTTTATCAAACTTCGTATCTCAATGCAATAAAGGCAACTTCTAACATAGTGATTACATTAGCTAGGAGGGAACGTCGGAAACACGCGGTTGGGCGCAGGTGTGGCGATTGGAAACCGAGGGCGAAGGCAGCATCGGAATTGTAGATTTTGGCCGAACATGCGTGCGGGGTTGTACGCGCAATCAACCGCGATAAGGGAAATGTTATTTTTACGTACAATATATCTAGAAATAAGATTTAGTCTGACAATGTAGAGTTCTGTTATTCTGGGATTGATTACTAAGAAAGAAGCTCTTATTTATATTCTACTATACTATCATATCGGATATGTATTGTTGTTTTCTTGGCTATACTATTTATAGCGCGGTTCTGTCATCCATGCACACATTCGAGGTGTATTTGCGAAGGTTTCGGTGTTTTCGTGGGACTTCTTGTAACCGGGTGCGTGGAGAAATTTCGCTTCGGTTGAGTCAGTCAACATCGAAACGTGTGGCGCTTTCGCCGACAGCGACAACCATCCGCCATCCATAGAATGACGGGTTGCTTCGCTTTCTTCGCAAGGACAGATCTGCGCTTTCTAGCACTCACCTCATAATTTCAGTCGAGGGCGAGCCCCCCCGGACGTAATTTGCAGCTTCCTTTGCACCTTCTGGAGCCCTCGCCCATCCCCCGCCCCTTGTCTATAGCGTGGTCGTGGCGAACAGGGCCAATAGGTTGCGCTGTGCTTTTCATGTCTTTGTTGTGCTGTATGTCTGGTTTCGACCAATGCCTTCACTCCTACTTCGCCCCCTCGTCGTCCACGGCTCCCTCCCTAGCTTCCGCCCGGTGGCAATGGCGGCGCTACCCAGGGGGCTGAAACGAGTCGCGGTCATCGGGGCTGGCCCCGCAGGTCTCGCGTCCGCCAAATACCTCCTCGAGGCGGGCCTTCAACCCACGCTGTTTGAGAAGGCCGGTTCTATCGGCGGACTGTGGAGGCAAGGCGTTTCAAGCGAGAATGGCGAGGCAATAGAAGAAGATCCTAACTCAAAACCAGCCGCCAGGGCAACAGATGGAGCGCCTGCGTGCTGGGCAGGCATGGTGACAAATCTATCGCGCTTCACCTGCAGTTTCTCCGACCATCCCTGGCCCGACGATGCGCCGTTCTTCCCGTCGCAAGCGCAAGTGCTCGCCTACTTGCGATCCTACGCCCAGAAGTTTCTCGTTCCGCCGGGATCAAACTCACTGGCAGCTTCAACCTCGCTGCGCCTGAACGCACGCGTCTCCCGCGTCGCGCTGCTGGACGATGGAAAGTGGAGCGTCCAGGTCGATCGAGAAGGCCAGCAGCAGAACCCAGAGGTGTTCGATTCCCTGGTGGTCGCATCAGGGTTCTTTGAAAAGGCGCACATACCCAACGTGCCAGGGGCTGATGCGGCGGCAGCAGCAGGAGTGCTGATCCACAGCGCGGAGTACCGCACCAGCGATGCCTTGGCGGGGAAGAAGGTCGTCGTCGTCGGTGCTTCCTTCAGCGGCGTCGACATCGCCGCTGACGTGGCATCGAAAGCCTCTCAGGTCATCCACGTCATCACGAAGCCCTTCTGGCTGCTGCCGCGCTTCCTTCCAGCCGACCCCGCAGACCCAGCCTCGCCCTTCCTGCCGCTCGACTTGTGCTTCTATCGAAGGGCGTCGCGAGCGTCACCGTCTCTGGTCCCGTTGCGCAGTGAGGAGGCGCGGCGTGCTGCCAACAAGTACATGCGCGCGCTGTGCGGTGATCAGGTAATGGGATAGGCAGGCAATGGGATGGGACCCTGCTTCCTTGTCTTGACGCTACATCCTCTCTCCAACCCAGCCCAGCCCTCTGAGTGTGTAACCAGCTTGTTCTGTCCTTGAACCGTATTCCTCAGTCCACCTGACTCGGGGTGTTTTTGCTCTAAGTGATCTTTTGGAAAGGGCCAGTGGCTGCTTCAAGCACCCTCTGCGCGCCACCCATTCACGCGCCCATCCCATGTCCCTCATGCCTACTTGTACCTCTAACAGGACTCTTACCCTGTCTTCTCTTTACCTGCAGGGTAAGCTCCTGTGCCCTGAGCTGGCCGTGAGCAGCAGCCACAGCGAGCACCCTTTCATCGCCATCTCGGACAGGTATGGACCAATGGTGCAGCAGGGGCTCATACGCGTGCTACAGGGCAGAGTGGAGGGCATGTTGCTGCAGCCCCATTCTGTCGGCACACCTCCGCAGGCCTCGGTCATTCTCCAAGGCACGGATGGACTAATCGACGGTGTGGATGCAATCATCTTCTGCACCGGTTACAGCCCCACGCTGTCCTTCCTCCCTAACGACCTCAAGCAGCAGATCGGCTTCGACCCGTCGGACCTCTTCTCGCCGCTGCTGCTGCACCGCTGCACCTTCCACCCGTCGCTCCCAAACGCCGCCATGGTGGGCATGTACCGCGGCCCCTACTTTGCCGCCATGGAGCTGCAGGCTCGCTGGGCCGCAGGCGTGCTGTCCGGCACCCTCCCGCCCGTCCCAAGCACCACCCTTCAAGAGGGCATTGAGGAAGCGAGGAAGGTGCGGGAGCAGCAGCCACGGCCGCAGTTCCCTGTGTGGGACTACGTGGGCGTGTGCAATTCCATTTCTGAGGAATTGGGGTGTGCGCTGCCCACAGACCCCGGGTGGATCAAGGCACACGACATGGTCGTACCCGCACACTACTGCACCACCACCAGTGCACCGTCTGTCGCTGCGGCTGAGGTTGCCATGGCGCAGTTGGCGCGTGCTTGTGGCGAGTTTGAGAGGGGGAGCGCAGTGGCAGGCGCGGTGTTCCGGGGCCTGGCGGGGACGTGGCGGTTGGAGCGGGAGATTCGGAGTGCGCTTGAGGGCCTCCCATCGGGCAGCATGGAGGGGACAGCCACGTTCACGCTACGGCCGGGGGAGGGAGAGTACCTGTACCGTGAAGAGGGGGAGTTTGTGATGGCAGGCAGTGCAGGGGGCAAGGGCAACAAGGTGTGGCGGGAGTATGTGTGGCTGTGCCAGGGGCCAGAGGATGGCATTGCCATCCACTTTGCCGACAAGTCGCAGCGCACCTACCTCTTTCACCACCTCAGGTTCTTCCCGGACCCTTCTGGGTCAGCTGCTTCTTCTTCTTCTGACAACAATGAAGGCCTTCAGAGTGCTGATTTCGTAGAGAAGGCATTGCCCCGGGCTTGGCGTGCAGTGGGGGAGCACCTGTGTGTGAAGGACTTGTACAAAGTGGCGTACCGGTTTGCCTTTCAGGGTGTTCACCTGGAGAGGTTCAGCATCGAGTACCTTGTGCGGGGGCCCCAGAAAGACTACGTGTCATCTGCTCTGTTCACTCGGCCTGCCTAAGCAATCCCTGTTCATGCGCTCTGACACCACTGGTATCACGACCATACCTTGTGTGGCAGCAACTATACCTGGGGCAGCAGCAGTGCCTGGGGCAGCGGCGGTGCTTGGGACAGCAGGAGCATGTTTGGCCACCGCCGCAGCAGGAGCTGGTGCTCCGCCAGTAGGGCCTGGCACGGCAGCAGTGCCAGGTTCGGCAGCAATGCCAGGTTCGGCAGCAGTGCCAGGTTCGGCAGCAGTGCCAGGTTCGGCAGCAGTGCCTGGTCCGGCAATAGTGCCTGGTTCGGCAGCAGGAGCAGCGGCATCATTAGGGGCAGCAGCAGGAGGAGTGGCAGCAGAAGGGGCAGCAGCAGAAGGGGTGGCAGCACAGGAGGCAACAAGCGCAGGAGAAGCATGAGGGGCGGTGGGAGGAGGAGCATCAGAGCAGCTGGCTGGCAGGGGCAGAGGCAGGAGAAGTTCCGAGCTGGAGACTCATCTTACACAGCCACACAGGAGAGCACAACCCTGCAGGACAACACACTCCCCAACAAGAGCATTTCTTTTGAAAAACGCACTCCGCAAGTACCGTATGAGCACACTCGTGACGCCGCTGGAAGTGCTGTGCCCCTCGCACCGTGGAGGCGAATAAGGTCTCTAAAAGGGCTTGCCAAGAATTGTTTCGTGCAGGAGTGGTTGTGGGGTTATTTTGGAGTCTTCACAAACAAGTTAGGAAAAAGCTTGCTCAAACAATCCCCAAAGAGCAGTGGAAGATTAGTGGAACCAAAACTCTTCTTCAATGTAGACTGAATAATTTCTCACCACTAAACTATGCCTACCAATGGACCACTCTATTTACTCAAGACACACAGTCCCCTTCACACCTTTCCACCTTACAGTTGGCTCTAGCTAACACACGGTTCAAACTCTCTGGAATCTGGATCTTCCTCTTACAACCCCTGATGGTGAGCTCTGTGAGTCTGTTAAAGCCCGCCAGGTACTCTGGCAGCGAGTTCATCTTCTCACAGTGGATCAGCCGCAGCTTCCTGATGCGATGAAAACACGCAAAGCTTCCGGGCAGGCATGGAAACCTTGACTCGTGAATCTCCAGGGTCCTCAGCTTGGGCGGGCAGGTGATACTTCCAGTGCATCCCCTCTTGACTCCGACATTGGACAGCCGCAGAAAGCGCAGAGAAGTGCAGGCAGAGAGGCATTCCAAGGTCCTGGAAGCCATGAAAAGCTGATCGAGAATGAGAATTTCAAGCCTGGGCATTGGGGGAATCGGGTGTTTGCAGCATGGATGATCCACCTGCAGAAAAGTCAGGTTCGGGTGCGCAGTCAGCCGAATCTCCGAACCAGGCTCGGCCCTCTCTAGCATGTGCCTCAGGTTCGGCAGAGCCCCAACCTGAGCAGTGGAGTGTATGGCTTGGAAGACCCTAAGGTTTGGAAAGAGGCACTGGGAGTCTGAGACTGGAGTGCAGCGGACGTTCACCAGCTTGAGCTGTGTGATTGTAGAGCAGGCCCAGGGGAAGAGGCTCTGCCCGTTATAGGAACGTCCATGGAGAGTCAACGACTCCAGAGAGGGGGGGAGAAACGGCTTAGGAGTCTGGGCTTGTCCCTGACCCTGTTGACCCTGCTGCCCTCCCTGTCCCTGCTGCTGCTGCCCCCGCTGCTGCTGCTGCTGCCGTTCCCCAAACCTCCCCCCGTCTACCTCAGAAATGCACAGGTCCTTGAGGGAAGTCAGATGCCACAGTCCCACCCCGGGCCTCGAGCTCAGGCTCGGAGCAGCCAGGGGCATGTGCAGCCGCGTCAGGCTCGGCAGGTGCCTGAGGGACGGCGGGGGGGCTAACCATTCGTCCGACGTAAGAGTCAACGAAGTTAACTTCTTAAAGCCCGCGAAACGCGGCTCGTCCGGAGACTCACCCTCCTCGTTGCCCACGTTCGCCACGCCACCAGTTGCCGTTGTACCAGCCCCAGCAGCGCCAGCCTCGTTAAAGCCCATCACTCTCAACGCGGTTCGTCGCTCCAGCTGCACGCGTCTGACGCGCCTCTCCTGCCCGCGCGCTGCTGCTCTGCTGCTGCACAGGTCCGTCTCCAGTTCCTCCAGCCGTTCCAACCCCCATATCGAGTCCGGAAGCACTTTGATAAATAAATAGTTGTGTGTAATATCGGGTACAAATGACAGGCTGCCATCGAAGTTGCGTGAGCCGACCCGGAGGTTGAGAGTCAGCTTCCGAAGCGAATGTTTCAAGCCGGAAAACAGGTCCGGAGACAGGCTCGGTGCCCGAGCCTGCGGGTGGACCTCGGAGCTAGTCCTGAGCTCGTCATGGTAACCAATGCGAAGCTCTTGTAACACACGCAGTTGCGAAAACGGAGCGGCGGAGGCGAAAAATGACTCGTTGGCGCAAGTCACGTGAAGATGAAGCGAACGGAGGTAAGGGAAGGTGGAAGTGAAGGAGGAGGACGAGAATGAGGCGGAGAGGGGATGATGCAGAGGAAGGGAGAGATGGGATAGCCGCTGCCGCTGATGCTCTGAGCCTGGTAGCGTTTCAGTGATTAGGGGTGTCGAGCCTCCGCCGGGACCTGCTGTGTCTGGCGAGCCAGCGGAGGAGGAGATTGCGGTTATCAGATCGGGCAAGTCATCAGGCACGGCGAATCGAAGCATGTCCGCTTGCACGTGGAACGACCGGAGGCGCGGGCAGGAATCAAGAATATTGACGAGGCCTTCGGTCAGGATGGCGTTAAACGCGCCAAGTTGGAATCGGGAGGAAAGGTTTCGCGGAAAGCGGATCTGGATCCGGCAAGAGCGGAGCGAGCGACACGTGGCGACCGCGGATAGCGCTTCGCGCAAACCTTCCTCTTGGAACGCCGAAACACGCCGGCCAGAAAACTTGTCGACGAAGATTGGGATATTGACGGACGTCAGGTTCGGAAACCGTCTAATCAAAGGGCCAATCTGCTTTCCGTCGGGAGAAACAATCGCAGAGTCAAGCTGGCGAGAATTCTGCGACAGAATGAGATCAGATACAAGCGCCGGGGTAAACCAGGGATTTCTGCTCATGAAGCGTACGTGCTCTGGCATGCACAGCGGCGGGTCGTCGAGAATCCATAGCTTCTCTATTCCCGGATGCCACCGTGAAACGAAACTGCAGTTGCTAACGTCACGGAAACAAGGCTCCCAGCGTGCGGTTCGCAAGTCGTAAACAACTGAGAAGTCGCGGGTTCGGCTCTCGAAGACGTCGCGCCATTCCTTACAGGCCGTGCTAGCTAGGTGCGCGTGTTGGGGTCGCTGCAGCAGTTTAAACACGTCCTCGAGAACATCGGCGGAAAGGGTTACTGATTTCGCGGGTGTAGTCGCTATTTGGGTACGACCGAGGCTGTTCCCAGGAAACGAGTGCGGGGAGGCTGGGGAAAGGGGCCGCATCAATTCCGTTTCGGCATCAGGAGAAGCTGCTGTTGTGTGTTGCTTCTCCTGCTGCTGCTGCTCCTGCTCCTGCTCCTGCTGCTCCTGCTCCTGCTGCTGCGGCTGCTGCTGCTCCTGCCGCTGCTGCTGCTGCTGCTGCTGCTGCTGCTGCTGCTGCTGCTGCTGCTGCTGCTGCTGCTGCTGATGATGATGATGATACTGATGAGAGTCTACATGATTCTCGGTGGAAGCAGAGGACCATTGCTCCAAACGGAATGTGCGAATGCTTGGAAACGAGACCGATCTGATCAGTCGAGGTACTCCCGACGTATCTGCTTCTACATTCGTGTCTGTTTCAAATGCGGATGTTGTTTCTAAAATGGTTCCCGCTGATAGTAGGGTGACTGGCTGAGGGGCTTCTGCTGCAGCTGTTGGATGAGCACCCTGTTCGAAGGCGCCCTCGGGCGGAACCCTAGTCGTAGCCATTGCCGATTTTGCAGGGTCCCGCGCGTTGTTGTTGCGGTGCGCAGATTGAATGCGAGAAAATGGAGGAAAATGGCAACGACATGAACTCTTTCCCCAGTAACGGTTCCTCGTTGTCAGGAGGATAAGTCAACCCTCTGAAGACGCTGAAATCTGGCATGTCAAACTCGAATTGATGCAACGGGGCGAATTGGAGGGAACTTTTTGATTGAAATGGGCTGTGAGTTGACAGAATTTGTAGACTATGCGGTTCGGCGAAATTGGGTTGCGTGTGGTGCAAGCCCGGTTACAGAGGCCCTCAAAAGCCCCTGTATTTTGCGTGCGCGAGCGGCGAAAACTGGCGAGCCCCTCACACTCAACCTGCAAGGTTGAGGGTTTTTGCGAAAGTACCCAACAGAGCGAAAATACGCCACTGTTACAGAATATGGGACGTGATAACGTTTTTGGCAAATAACGCGTACAGTCACTGTACCGAGTGTTTTACGGGTTTGGTAATTGGGTTAAAGCGTTCAGTCACTAACAGTAGGCAGAAATTCACAAGAATGGTCACACATGTGACTCCTGCAAAAAATGCATGAACCTCTGCAATTTCACGCCTGCGCCAAACAAATCTACTCACTTATTTAAAAAAAACAAACAAACAAACAAACAAACAAAATCGGAACGGGTACAATCTAGGAACGGATCAACCCTAAACACCAAGCGGGTTGTGTTAGTGTAAGGAAAACCCTTTTTTCCTTACTGGGGTTTACTCAACCGCGTACAACCCCAACTTTCGGAAGTGCACGTTCGGCCGCTTTGCTTGCTGCCGAAGCAACCTCGCGTCGCCTTCGGTTTTCCTTTGCCCAACCTGCACTCAACCTCGTGTTCCCGAGGTTCCCGCCTAGCTAGGTTGCATCGCTATATAATCGCATGCCCTTCATTGTATCGTCAGTTCATTGAGTCACAGCCTCGTTATTCGTTATTCCGCGCAACTCTGTTTGACAACTCATAACACCTGGTATCAGAGCTACTTTCCTAGTTCACCCCGCTTTTCCAGGGTAGTTTAGTGGCACGGGTGTGATTGGTACGGTGGGCTGCAAAGCGGTTGGTTGCAAAGTTTATTAAATTAAACTTGCCCGACTCCGATAGCTTTTGCGCT